ACTTTAAGTTATGTATAAGGAATGTTAAACGTAACTAATATTTCGCTACGCACTTAATTTATGATTTATTTTCCTTTGAAATTCTAGACCGTTATATACCATTCTTAAAGTGGATAAAAATGAAAGATGGTTGTTAAAGTAGACAAAATAGATGATTTAGAATAAATGTCTTAATATCTAAACAAAATTAAGTTCATTTATTTTTTTAGGGAAAGTAAATTTTTTCTAGTCCCTCGATTTGATAGAAATCATAAAAAAAATTATTGGATCTTTTGATTTCCAACAAGTATTTTTTGGTTAGTCATTTATAATATTTTTGTTGTTTTCGTAATAATTATCTTATAATTCCTTATATAAAAACTGCGATAATTTAAAAAGTAAAAAAAAAAAAAATCAAATACTTGTTTAAAAACTAAAAATATCTTTTGTTAATTGTTTAAAATACTAAATAATATGGATGTATGCAAAAATGACTATCAATTTCTTGTGATGAGATAAAACTACTTTGGTCCCAAAAATTATTGATAGATTTAGATGATGTGGTTTGAATTTTAGATTCGAAATCAATCTTTTTAAATATGTCGAGTCTGATTGTAAAAATTATTTTCATGATACACATTCTCTTAAAGAGTTAGTATCATTTTTCTAGTAAAATTAATAATATGTTTTTTCAATTTATTTTTTCTATTAATATAAAAAAAAATACACATTTATAAGATTTATTATTTTTTTTATACAAAAAATTATAATTTTTCGTTACGAAGTCAATCGAGACTTGCATATGAAATGTAATAAATTTATTTGTCACGCTGACTTCATCACCAAGATTTGGTTACAAAATTTAGGAGGAATGGAAATATCTAGAAAAAGGCAAGAGTCATACCCGTTAGTGGTATAAATTTGAAATATATATATATATATATATATTTTTTAGAAAAAAGAAGAATTCCTCCCGTCTTAGAATGTCATCGTAGGAAAGCATTGAACGCTGAAACAAAAAATTGCGCACGACTTACTAGAAACTCATTTAAACGCGGAGGTCAACCCTTTTGATCTAAGAATCAAACATGTCTTGATTTTTACAATTCAAAGGAAGACAACCCAGTTGCATATATATATATATATATATTATATTATATATTTATTCAAAGGAAAAAATTATAAAAAAAAATTAATGGAAGACTTGAATTAGGAATATTCAATTAAGCTCCTATTAACAATAAATAAATTGATGTTACAGTTGACATGAATTTCTTTTTTCAGACTGTCAATTGAATCGATTAGGCTTGCAATTTACAGATTAGAATATGAATTTTTTTTATATTATATATATATATATATTAATTTTATCAATGTAAATCTTAGGATAAGTATAATTTCCTATCTTCGATTGTCGGAATATTAATATATAAATAAAGATAAAAATTCAATTTTTTTTTTTTTAAATTTTAGACATAATTATGATCAAATAGATGTATGTCTTTATATCTTTATAAATAGAAAAACACTTTATTGTTATAGAATTTAAAGAACAATGTTTTATATTCTACAAATACCAAAAAAAAAAAAAGAATCTAGTATAATTTATTTCAATAATATTTTAATTTAATATTTAATTTAAATTAAATAGATTCGTAATTTTTATGTTAAAAATATAATCTATTTACCGTATATTTTAATGTAAAAAAAATAATTAGTTCTGGTTGCATTTTATGTTATAAAAATTTGAGATATTTCAAGAAAATAATAAGATCATAAAATAAAGTAAATATATTCACTCATCAACTAATATTTTATAAATTATAACTCACTTATAATTAAATTCTAATATCTTTTATTATTTAACATTTATTTTATAAATTATTTATGTCCCAGTTTAATAATTCATCGGACGAGTCAAGCAGCCAAGTATTCTCAAAGAAAATATTATATATTTTTAATTAAAATGTCGAGTTTAATGGAGGTCCCTGATTTCTCCACGTCATCCGTCGTCGGCACATGCATGACGTGGCGAAATCAGGAAGCACGTATGATAGAAGAGAAGGTGGCTGCCACTGTAGAGGATTTCCCACCTAACGCCCCTGTCTTTAGATGCCAATTTTGACCGAACGGTTGGCTTCAGCCTTCCGCCTCCACCGTATACATTGAAGAAGTTTCTCTCTTTGTTTCACATCTCAATTACGTAGGAATCACGAGTTTGGTGCTTGGTATATAATCAATCATCTACTCGCTGCATAAACCAGATCCGTTTATCTTTTCTCCTTGTCTGTGTTTGGTGTTATTTCGAAAAGACTTTCAAGCTTCGCTTCCGATCAAGGCCGAGAGAATTAGAAAATCCGAGGTATGGATTCTTCTTCTCCTTTTCGTTTAACGTTGTAGAAATGATCTGGGTATGTTCTCATTTTCTGATTGGTTGCTTAGAAATTGAAAGGAAAAGATGGAAAAATAGAACATTTTAGTTGGCTGTCGCTTGATTGTGAGTTAGGACTTTTCGATTTTCTTTTCATGTTATGATATCTGGATACTCGTGCAAACTCAAATGTTGTTCCTGGGTTTTAGTTTACAAGCTGATCTGGGTTCCCTTTCTTTTGTGTATAGTTGATCCATTTTGTTTTCGTCAGACATCAAAATTGGATCCTGTTTGTGAATTGCCATTGTTAGTTTTTGTTAGAATATTTTTCTAAGCATGATTTGGCTGGTGAATTTGATTGTACTTACTATGAGCATATTCTTTAGTTGTTTCTCTTTCGTATTGAAATGTTTGCGAAATCAAGATCCTCTTTTCTAGTGAAAGTGAATCTACGCTCTTTTTTGGTAGGTACATTTTTTCTTGTTCTTAATGATAGCTCTCTTTTCTTTTCTTTTTTTTTTTTGGGTTAACCATCTCTCCGTCTCTCTAACTAAATGGAATTTCAATTTAGTCTCTACTGCAAAAATCATTTTTCGTTTTGATGAGCTGGCTCTTGCTAAATTATTGACTTTGCCTTTTCGCATCTGAGATTGCTGGTTTTATCTTTGCTAAAAAATTGCTTCTTTTTCTCTCTCCCTCCGATCCCTTCATTTCATACTAATCACTTATCATGGATATTGTTCTGAAGAAAATCAACTTATCATCTACATTGCTTGTTTAACTTTTAATTTACTTTCTTTGAAGACATCAGTAATGCCTGGTGGTTGCTATAAGTTGGTACTCTTTTTGCATCTGTTACCAAATTTTGGAATTTATCTCACCAGCAACCTTAAACCTTGAGCAGGTGAAAATATGGCTACACCTACAAGAATAGGCCTTGCTGGTTTGGCTGTTATGGGCCAAAATTTGGCCCTCAATATCGCCCAGAAAGGCTTCTCAATTTCTGTCTATAATCGAACTACCTCCAAAGTTGATGAGACTGTCGAGCGAGCTAAACAAGAAGGAAATCTTCCAGTATATGGTTTCCATGATCCTGAAGCCTTTGTCCAATCAATCCAGAAGCCTCGGGTGATAATCATGCTTGTAAAGGCTGGGGCACCTGTTGACCAGACCATAAAGACCCTCTCTGCCTACATGGAGAAAGGTGATTGTATTATTGATGGTGGCAATGAGTGGTACGAGAACACGGAGAGGAGAGAGAAGGCCATGGCTGAACTGGGTTTACTCTACCTTGGCATGGGAGTTTCAGGTGGTGAAGAGGGTGCGCGACATGGACCATCTCTGATGCCTGGAGGCTCCTTTGAGGCTTATAAGCACATTGAAGACATTCTTCTTAAGGTTGCAGCTCAAGTTGATAGCGGCCCCTGTGTGACTTACATCGGGAAGGGTGGATCTGGAAATTTTGTCAAGATGATTCACAACGGAATTGAATATGGTGACATGCAGCTAATTGCAGAGGCTTACGATGTGCTCAAATCAGTTGGAAAGTTATCTAATGAGGAACTGCAAAGTGTTTTTGCAGAATGGAACAAAGGGGAGCTCTTGAGCTTCTTGATTGAAATAACTGCAGATATTTTTCTGATTAAGGATGATAAGGGAGACGGGGACTTGGTTGACAAGGTTTTGGACAAAACTGGTATGAAGGGTACTGGTAAATGGACTGTTCAGCAAGCTGCTGAATTGTCAGTTGCTGCTCCTACAATTGCGTCTTCTTTGGATGCAAGATTCCTTAGTGGGTTGAAGGAGGAAAGGGTTGAAGCTGCTAAAGTTTTCAAGTCAGGTGGGTTTGGTGATGTTTTGGCCGAGCAAAATGTGGACAAGAAGAAGTTAATTGATGATGTGAGGCAAGCACTTTATGCATCCAAAATATGTAGCTATGCACAGGGGATGAATCTTATCCGTGCAAAGAGTATTGAGAAAGGTTGGGACTTGAAGTTGGGGGAACTGGCAAGGATTTGGAAGGGAGGTTGCATCATCCGCGCTGTGTTTTTGGACAGAATCAAGCAGGCATATGATAGAAACCCTGATCTTGCAAACCTTCTTGTTGATCCTGAGTTTGCTAAGGAAATCATTGAGAGGCAGTCTGCCTGGCGGAGAGTTGTGTGTCTTGCTATTAATGCTGGTGTTAGTACCCCGGGTATGTCTGCTAGTCTTGCATACTTTGACTCTTACAGAAGGGAAAGGTTGTCTGCTAATTTGGTCCAAGCTCAGCGAGACTACTTTGGGGCTCATACATATGAAAGGACTGATATGGAGGGATCTTTCCACACTGAGTGGTTCAAGATAGCCAAACAATCAAAGGTTTAAGTCTACTTCTTTGGCTACTGTGCTTAATCAGGATTTCAATAAGCATAATAATTACTGGTCTGGACTCCATGGTGCCGAGTGCTTGCGCTGCAGCTAGCTGTTGAAACTATTACAAATGCATTTTTTATATCCAGTTACATATTTTAGGTTTTTTCTCCCCAAGCGCAGTTCTTTTGATGTTTATGTTAGATGTGGTGTTTTTTTCCTCTGATGTGTTTAAATTTCGATAAAAAAAAATATGTGGCTCCTTTTCAGATGCAAGAGAGTTACATTTTGTAACAATAAAATTGTATGAAATATTTCCTTTGTACTTTTGGTTTTTTCTTTATTATTTTCCTTTGCTTTTTTGAATATCCTTTTCTTCCGGATTGCATCGAATGATTGCACCAACTAGATAAATTTTCTTGCAGATAGCATAACGATCAGGTCCGAGCACCACAGACACATGCGCATCTGCACTTAGCAAAGGGAAGTGGGTTAGCACAGTCCAGCTGAGTCTTATGCACAGTTGTTCTAATTTTGTTTTCTCTTGAACTCTAAATCCTTGTGTGCAGACCAGAACATTATTTTTCTAGTTATTGTTACTGAGCTAACCTTTTGTGGGTCTTAGATCTTTGTTCCCCCCTAATTTTGCTACTTGATAATGTGGCTATTTGTGTATGGAAGGAGGCTTTCTAGCAAGGACCAGTTTTCGGAATAGAAAGCATCCCAAAATGATGTAGGCAAATTGTTTATGCTTGAATTTTACTTGATGTTACTTCTTTTTTCTCATTATGAATTTCTTTCAAATGTTGGTGAATCATAAAAAAAACATCAATATAGGAGATTATTAGACGATTTTTGATACACAAGTCTTCTTTATCTAACGTTCTTATTACTTTTATTACTTTTTATCCTCTCACAGAAATAATGAGCTGAAATCAGTATGTTATTCAAATTGAAGTATAGAGGCTGTTACGTGTCTTTTTTCTTTTTTCTTTTTGTATTATCTCAAGTCTTGCATCCTATTTAAATTTGTTTCTAATACAAGATGATATAGTTGCTATTATTCAATCACCAACCATATATTTTGTATTGCATGTGCTACAATATTTTTTTGACTTGAAGTTGAGCCCACACTTTCCTTTTGTCTAGCTGTTGCACTTGCACCCCTTCTTTCCCAATCTGAGTTTATGCAATTGGTTACTGTTCTGTCACTTCAGTTTTCTTTGTTGCTTCTCATAGTTGGCATTTGTCTTTCGTAATCAATCTTATTTCCAGCACAACAAAACGTTCACATAATGTACTGTATTTTTCTTTTATTGTTTTTGAGATAGCAGAATGCATGTGGCTTTATACATTCACACCACACATGCTTGCATGCACATGAGATGCATGATTGTAAGTTTATGCTGGAAGGGGAATGTTATGTTCATCCCTTCCAACTCACCACCTTTCAGCTTTATAAAATTATTTATGTAGATTTTGGGATATTGTTTCCATTTCCGTTTCAATTTTCTAACGTATGACTTTTTCATCTTGTATTGGAATTTGTATCCGTTGTTAAAGCTGAATTGAGTATGAATTTTCAAATGAACTATACAAAAATAACTTTGTTTCTAAATGTACCCTTAACTCTAGCTACTGCAGATTATATTGCTGCATCTTCTTTTGTTGAATAAGTGAATGCTAACGATCCTACGGTTGATGCTTATCCGATCAGATGCATATACGTTTTGTTTTGCTTGGGATAGTATTGGAATATGAAAAGCAGGGGTGAAATTCATCTATGAAGAAAAAGAATGCTTGACAATGTGCCTCTACCTTTAAAACACCGTATAATGAAAACAAAGAATGCAATTGATGAGTTTGTACTTGATAAACTTGGCACATTTCGAATTTTAAACTGGGACATACCTTCATAAACTGCTCTACAGGATAACTCCAATACTTGTTCAATCTCTCTCTTTCAACTTGGATAAGCTTCAATTCTGCACTCTATACCTTGTGCTGTTTTCTCCTCTTTTCTTCTCTTGTTTGCTGTTTTTATTATGTGAAGAACATTTGCTAACATAATCACCTTTGCCATGCTTAGAATGAACTCTGCCATGACTTCCTTTATCTTTCTCATGTTTTTGTTGGCGATGACTTGGGCCAGAAGAAGCATCGGAAGCCATTGAATCATCACTATCTTGTCCACCATTGTCATTTTCAGCATCATTGGCATCATCATTATCGTTTTCATAGTTTCCATCTTCGTCCTCGCCACACTCTGCGTCATCTTCTTCCATGGGAGAGGCAATGTAAGTTGTCCAGCCAGATTCACTGCTGCTACAGCCTTCTGTACCCCCTGAAAGATTCTTGGAAGACTCCATTGCTAGAGGTATAATGGGAAAGGTCAAAAAGGCATAAAAGATTAGAATAAAACGCTATATTTGCATCTGAATTGGGTGAGGTGTTGCATAGTGAGTCTTGTTTCTTGACTAGGAAGAGAGAGAGGAGGCTTCTTTCCTGGAAGCCACCATTTGAGAAAGCTGCATATAAAAATCTTTGTTTACTGTTTATATTGAACTTTTGACATCTATAAACATAGTATTCCTATATTACATTAATTACTTATAACACATGGATTATATTAGTTGAAGACAGCTTATGATGAGTTCAAAAGTCATCCAAAAACCGAAGGAAAACTTAAAAAAGAAAAAAGAAAAACACTAAAAGTAGTTTAGACACAAACAAAATTTGGCTGTTTTTTTCCTGGTTATAGAAAAGCTCCACGCACCCACCAGCAAACTTATGGTTTATTTATTTCTCTATTTCTTAATCTGTCCATAAATATATTTTCTCTGCATTATTTCTGAAAGGGAAAAAAAAAAAAAAAAAAAAGAAAAGAGCTCCCGGCTTGAAATTAAATCATTTAACTTGTGTCATTGTCATTTTTCTTTCAATACTGAATTGAATTAAATCATTTTACAGAATGAGAGAATATCTCTATACACTGAGAATTCTGTGTCTTGTCAACAGAAATGCAGACTTAACCCATCCTCTTGAATTGGAAGATAAATGAGACCCATGTCCTTAAGCGCTGCATCCCATTTCCTATTTATCAGCCATGCTTTTAATTTCTCTGTCTTGTCATGAGTGTACATCACCTTTATACATATATATATATATATACATATATATCTTCTTTACTGAACCGAAAGTGCAGAGAAGCCAACTGGTTTTGGGAGGCTCTGGATCTTAATATGGTTGAACTGAGATTATTACCTAATATATTTGTATTTCTGTTCTGTATTTGTTTGCTTTTGTTTGTCTGATAAGAATGATTGTCTGCACCTTCAAATTAATGGCATCGAGACATGCATCTTCCTGTTAATATCACACACACATACACGCACGACACATATATATATATATATATATATATATATATATATATATTTATATATGAAACAGATTGTCTCTTTTTTAATTCTCTGCGTGATTAATGAGATTATGTTATTATTGATGTTCGTGCATTATATAATTAATGCAACACATGGAATTCAACTTAAAAGAACTTATTTTCCAAGTTGTCCAACTTTTACTATTAATAATTTCCCTACTTTTTGACCAGGGGTAGTAAAGAAGAGTCTCAAGTTATATAAGTCATATACAGTGCTACATGTCAACCGGCTGTGTGCTAATTATATATTGATTATTTACATGTAATGATTAGTGTGCAATTATTATTGTCTGGATGGATTAATCCTTACAGAGAAATTGTATATGACTCTGTTTTATTTTGTTTTAAGCGAAAAATTTAAGACATTCAGATTATCTTTCTAAAATTTATAATAAATTTTAAAAATAATAAAAATCTAACATTAAAAATTTATTATAATTAAAATATAAACAGTAGATTAATATACTAAATTAGTTTCATATTTAAACCAAATCTAGCATATAATAAGCCTCTCAAGAACAAAATAAAACAGCCAAATTTAGAACCCTAGGAAAGCCTGTATGAAGCAGACAAATTTGCAAGCAAGGCATGACTCAAGAAAGTGTAACGAAGTGAAAAAGACGCAAGGCATCAACAAGAAGAGAATCAATAAAATTGAAAACCAAGTGTAAATTTCTTTTTAGATTTGTTTATCTTCTATGTAAATTAGATAACTCATGGTTGATGGCTCAGAAGACTCTCCCTCTGATTTGTTTTCAATCATGAAAATCACATTGAAAAACTTGCTGGTCTTGAAAATCATTTTTCATCATTTTCCAAAGAATTTCAGGTTTTAACAGTTCAATGAATTTCAGTGGTTGTGAAGCATTGAGTTAGTGCCTCAAACAAGGTTTCGAAGAGAGTAATTTTTGAGGAAAAGGAGAATGTGGTACTAAGAGCAGAAACTAGGGGGAGAAAGTGTACAATTGTTTAGCTATAGGGAGAGTATAAGGCATGTTAGAACAGAGAAAGTCGAGCAACAAAACATGAAGAAGTTTTTGGAGAACTGATAATAGGAGTGAGTTTTGTGAGTCTGAGGGTGGAAAAAAGAGCGAGAATGAGAGATGAATCAAGGGTTTGTTTCTTGTTTTGGCAGAGGGAGGCAATGAAGATGAAAAATTTTGGCTGACTGATGGGTTGAAAGACAATTAATGAAGAAAGAAAAGAGAGATCAGTGAGAGATTACCAGGAAAGATAGATAGATATATATAATCATGCATTTACCCTTTTTGTTCCTCAAGTTTAAATTCATGTTCTTTTAAGTATCATTTTTTTATGTGCTCGGAAATGAGGTGAGCGAGGAATGCATTGATATAATTAGTTTATATGATGTGATGTGATCATTTCGTTTGAGTTTTATTTATTTTTGTTTGTTTGATATAATTTATGACAATGAGATCCGTTTTTTATTTTTAGTATTAACTTGTTTTTTATTATTAACTTCGCACGAATAGTTCTCTTATTATGAAACATTGATATTGTTGATTTAAATTGGTGAAGAAAAATTATAGGAAATTTGTTGAATTTGTTGATTTCGTATAAAATTTATGGTTTGCTATTTTTATTTTCACTATTTTAATCCATGGTTTTGATTTCATGTAAAATTTACTGAATTTTTATTAAAATTTAGCATACTTCTGTGTTTTAAAAAGATAAATAATATGAATAATTATTGTTAATATTATTTATTAAACATATATAACAATAACAAAGGAAAATTTCAGTAATAAGAACAAAAATAGTCATATTAGGATTAAATATTCTATACAATCATTAAAATCATTTTTGCTAATCATAAAACACTTTAAAACTTTTGACAAAATGACTGTAGGTTAAATTGGGATGTACTTTGTCTTATTTTACTATATAATTTGTAGATAATTTAATTAGCGAATATACTTAAAAAGAACAATATTTTTAGAAACTTTCACCATAATATTTTAATAAATATACTTCCAAGTTATTTAATAATTAGTTTACATTGCAAGGTAGGTGTTTTACTCCTTCATACCCAATATTATTCTTGAATTAATAATTTATATTACACTAGTAAATTTTTCTAGTATCTTATCTCACTTCTAATAAGATTAGTGACAATTATGAAGAAATTTAAAATTTAAATTATTTTTGTAGAGATATTTTGAAGATTGGGCCACCGAGTTCAAGCCGACCTTCATTTGGAGGAAGTTAATATTCTCCTATTAGAAGCTTATTGCCATCCTTCTCTAGTGTGCTTGACTTTGAGTCTCCATCTTTTAAACAAAATCATAACTCTGTATTCTTGCCTGCTGGTTTAGTTCGTAAATAAATATTTCCTATATCTCCCGTTCCAAAGGATTGAAAATTCTTCCATGTGAAAGCGATCCTCATCTACAAAAAAGTATTTATTATCATGATTATTGTGATTACTTGATTCATTAAAAGATATGTAAATAAAAAATTACTCTCATAAGATTAAAAATGAATTAAATAGAGTAGTGCGATTAAATGTAAGAGAAACTTTTTCTAATTGGTGAAACATACCTGTAAATTTATCAGTGAAAGATATTTAAATATGAGTTTATATTGGTAACGCTAAAGAGTGACTCATACTATTCAGAAGATAAGTATTTAATATCCTTATCGTTTTATTTTTATTTTTTGGTACAGTTATTCCTTTTTTTTTTTTTGAGATATTCACATAGATAATGTTTATCCAAATATATTTACTTCATGTTTATCTCATGTGGTTGCACTTTGATTTTTATGCAGGTATTTATTTGCTTTCTTTTTTACTTCTTCAAATTTACCACTATCTATTCTTATTCATTTTCTTTTTATATCTAATAGTAACTTATTTTTTTATTAATATCTATATAAATATGTATTTTCTTAAAATTTTATATGTTAATTTATATTAATTTTTTTAAAAAAATTATTCAAATTTTTACCTATTATAACTAATTAAAATTAGACATGTTATATAACTAATTTGTGTTATAAATATAATTTTGATTGATATATAAAGGATGGATGGATAAATGTAATCAAACAAGAATCTTGACACCTACAAATTATTATTATTATTTTTTTATAAAAAAAATAAAAATAAACATAAATTAATTGATAACACATCCTCCCTGATGAGATTGAATACGTCAAGGCATAGCTCAAAGAAACCACAAACTTGGATTATTTTTCCCTTAAAATAATCTAAATGATTTTTTGGTTTTGGATCACTCAATTTAGTTTTTTTTGAAGTTTCTTAACGTCCATACAAGTTATTGTACTGGTAACACATCCTCTCTGTAGTTCTTTAACCTCGTAAGAAGTGGAGCTGAAATGGAGGTTCCCGTGTTCTTCAAGGTTCAAGACACTGTATTTTCTCTTCACTTGTTTTGATGCTCACGAGTTGTGTCCATTGTGCATAAGGAAGCAAAATAAGATATGAAAAGCTTTTTCCATCTCAATGTTTGTGTTGATTTTTGTTAAAACAAATATCCTCAATTTTTCTTGATGTGGATGCCCTCATATATAATAGGGAAGCAGAGGAAACCATTGTTCATCGATTTAGGGTATGGTTCTTACAATGAGTGATGAATCAGTATACAGGATTCATTTATTTGCACTTATATGGTTCATGTTGGTCCTTTGAGGGATCAATGGATTCATAGAATGAAATGGATCATGTTGGTTTTTTAAGGGATGACATTGGGAGGATTTTGGCAATTGGCATGATGCGTATCCCTTCATCGGCTTCCATAGAGGTAGCAGAGATGCAAGTAGCTGCTCTGGGTTTGGACATCGATCTTATGAGGGTGCTACGACATGTGAGGAGATTCTCCAAGTAATGTACTGCCCAAGTAATTGTAGTATCTTATCTCTTAAATATAGTTTTTTGCTAAACGATTTTTTTATATTTAAACAATTGTGTTGGCTCTTTCTGTTGTAATTGGATCTCTAGATATTGTATTGAGGTGGCTTACATGCTACCAGGGAAGCTTTATGGTTACCAGAATCTTTCTTAAACCTGCAGATAGTCCCACATGATCTGGAGTCCTCAAGCCCTTTCTATGCATCTTTTAATTATACATGTCAACCTTTTTTTTTTAATATATATGTATAGATGTCATTATTCATTGTTTACTTTCTATTAGGACAATATACCAGTTATATGAGGCAGTATGATGACAACTTTGAATTCCAACAGTGTAATATTATCAAACTGTAAGCACTAAACTGGTGGATATTACTTGTTCCAATTTTGAACTAATCTGTATATTTTGATCAAAACAGCTAAATGATAATCTTTATAAGCAGTTCTTAAGTTTTGCACTAAATACCTATTGGCTAAATATACTTAAGGCGAGCTATTCTTTTTATAGGGTAAATGTCATTAATATATTCACATAATACTTCAATGCAATATTATCAAAGACAAATATGAAATTTTATTCTCATAGTATTCTCCAAACTATAGTTTACCACATACTAGTTACTTTAAACAACATTAAGATTTTGACCATGTCAACTATCCTGTGAAATCAATCAGGTGATCTCCTTAGCTTGCTGGCATCTTTCTCAGACAGCCGAATAAGGTCAGGTCACCCACCTGACATTCCATTCAGGGACTTGATTGAGAGTACAATGGAAAAACAACATAAAAAATGTAAAGTATTGAGGCAATTGCGTTGGACTCAAAATGGTCTTTTTACAACTCTTGACCATTTTCAATGAATAATTTGAGTGCATTCCGCAACTATCAGAAAGCATATCCAAGCTTTTTCAACACTCCTTTCTAAGAACTTGAAAAATCAATCGTTTACTATTTTTTATTTAGTGAAACAGAGACCAATCTCAGTAGGAAAATGTTGAACTGAAAGAAAGGAGGTAGAGGAGAAAAATGAGATGCGCCAGTGAGTTTTGAAATAAAGCGCAATAGAAAAGGTTTCATCATCTATAACCTGTCAAATAGAAGGCTGGACTGAATAACTTGCAAACAGTAGCCCATAACATAGCAAGTGAACTTTGGAATCACTAGTCAGATCCTGTCTCCTCAAAGGATGCCTCATTTGCAGCATTTTGAGCTTCTAATAACTTCATCTGCCGTTCTGCATGTTCTCTTTCGCAGGCACTGATGCCCATAATAATATCAAGCATGGTACCAGTTGTGCCAAAAAAGACAAGGGGAGCTAAAGATTTCCGTTTTATTCCCACTGGAATTGCTAACAAAGCTCCTGCAACTGAGAATACCCATGTGCCTAGTGCGCTGCACAAATTCAATGCTCAATCACACTCATCATAGTTGGAAAGAAACAAACTACAAAAAAGAACAAGGAAATTTTGCATTTTCATTGATCCATTGATGTGTAACAAACCGCTGGTCCGGGTTATCCCCTGAATCCAGGAAGAAATAAGATCTACTTGCATATTTTCAAGTGAATTCATGGCTACTAAAAGTACTTTCTATAAATTATCTTGCTCAATTTTAATTAATATTGACAACCTTGTTGACAAAAATATGCATCACTAAGAGCACCTGCAAAAGAAAAACTTGAATAACAAGCATTATTTCTCTATAATAGATTACCATGTCAAATTCCACTATCCACAAATTTACTGGTAACATAAATGACAAAACGAACCATCAGACGCAGGATCTGAAGGATAAATGGTATTAAAGGATTCGCATGAGTGAGAGGCGAGAGTTGATTGACAACTGGTAACCATATTCTTCAAGATGCATTCATACACCCGAAATCTTTCAACTAAGGAGATGCATTCATATGCCAGTATCACATGGACAACATACAACAAAAAGTAACTTCAGCTGTGAAAGAAAATACATTCTGAAGCAAGAAAGAAGCCATAACTATAACAACGAACTTGGAAAATGTAAACTGCTAGGCAGAAGAAGTAGATTTTGCTCTTTATTGAGCATGAATTAAAACCAGATGTCAAGCAAGCACAGAACTACTTCGATAATAGGACCATCAGTGATGCCTTTTGAAGAATCTCTAAACCAGCATAGCACATTTAGCTGCTTCTTTCTTTCCCAACCAAAGCTAGCAAGAGATTCATTGACAATCCCAAGATTTTCCATGTTTAGTAAATGCTAGCTTGAACAATTGGAGTCACAGATTAACAAAAAACACAAATGCATAATCTTACACGAAGTCGATCATATTCAATATGAAGTGATAAAAAGATTCATGCCTCAATAAACCAGTATAGCAACCACCAATAACCATAATTAGAAAATTAACAGAAAGGAAAAAAAAAGGAAGAAGGGGAAACTATAACTGACTTGGAAACTGAACAATCTTCTAGCTGCTTTACATTCTCTTGGCCACTCATAACAGCAAGCCGTTCTTTCTCTGATATGGAAAACGGAAACGCACTTGACCCTGTTTCACGTTGCAGTTAACATACAGACAAAAATAATGAAACGTACCTAGGGTTTTGATCTAATATTCTCAAACTGTCAAACGTGGAAAAGGTAATATTCTTCAAAACCCTAGAAAATCTTTGAAAGGCAAAAGACGGGGACGATGAGAGTGTAAATTCTTTATAAAGCCATTAGCAGAGGTGACACTGAGAGCTTACCTGAACAGGAACGATACCTAGAAGATAAGTTGCGAGAGGATCAAAGATGTCCGGGAACTGATCTGTAAGCTGCTGTCTGCGAAGGCAGCGTAGTAGAGCGTCACGGACACAGTAGACAAACTATGACCCGACTCAGCCGGACCGCCTTAATACTCGGGGCCCAACTCTTGGCCTAAGGCCCCAGACCCAAAGCCCACGGCCCGAGGTCCGATGCCTAGATCCCGAGACACAAGGACCGATGACCAAGGCCTACGGCCCCAACCCGTGATACAAGGCTCGGCCCGAGCCCCAAGCTGGCTCAATGCCCAAGTATGAGGCCCAGTGACAATGTCCCCGAACCGAGGGCAAGACCCAATGCCCGGCCATAGGCCCAAGGAGACCCGATACTCAAATTCATGGCCCCGGCCCGAGGCCCAAGTACGACTCGTTTCTCAAGGCACAAGGCCCGAAGCCCGTAAGGAGGCCCAAGGTCGGGCCCGATGACCAAAGCCCAAGACCCGGGACGATGGCCCAAGGCACGGTCCAAATGCCCAAGTGTCAAGGCCCTGACAGAGGCCGAAGGCCCGGCTCGAGGTCCAAATCGCAATGCCTTCAAGGTCCGTGGACCAAGTCCAAGCCCCAATGCTAGGACTCAAGGCCTAAGGCCTGCGCCCAAGAACCAAGGACCCGAGGCTGGAGGCCCAAGGCTCGGGGGTCGAGGCTCAGGGCTCGAGGCCAGGTCTGGAGTCTCAGGCCTTGGTCATAACTCAAGAGGGCCTTAGACAACACACCATTTTAAACGTTGCAGAGATGAAGATGGAAGAAGTGGAGGGAGACGGAGAAGATGAGAGGAGTGGGAGGGCCGTTATTGTGCATAGGAGATCTGCTCAGCGACGTCGGGGAAGAATCCGGTGCAGCATCAGACCATCATGAAACCCAGCCTTCATCATCACCATCAACGGAAATTTCTGATTCCAATCAATCTGTTGACCTTACCAGACTCTTTCAGGTTCTATACTGACCTTTATATATATAAACTTCCTGTTACCTTTTGCAATTTTATTAGTCAACCGATCGATTTTTATTAGTTTTTTTCCTGGTCAAGATACTTTTTGAAGGGCTAATATTAAGTATTGGGGATCTAAGAGCTGAATTAAGGAGCTCAACGTACAAAATTTAAAGAAATAATCCTTTTGCCTTAGGGTTTTTACCCTTGGTTTGAATGCTGTATTGTGAATTCTAGGAAACATGCTATAGGGTTGAATGATGTGCAGGCTTTATATCTCTGTTTCTTTGAACTATATAGTTCTTTTTTCTTTTATTTATCTTGCTGCTTATTGTAGGGCAATGAATTCATGTGAAGACTTTGGTTATTCTAGGACAATAGATTGCACGAGATGTTAATCTGGTAATAGTCTGAAGTTACAGATGGGTTAATTTTTCCTCTTCTAGAGATAAATCAATCTCAAACGAGGTTAAGAACAGTATTAGCTTTTAATCTATATCAAAAGTAAGGCCAATCTCTAAAGTCAATATCAGATATAAAGACTCAGGCCTCCTAGTTGCCATTCTATAGTAACCGACATATTGCTAGGCTTTTTGGGTGAATGGATTGCTAGTTGGTGCCGCCTTTGTGTTGTTTATTCTTGTTGTAGGATTAGAATATTTCTCAGAACTACTTTTGATTAATTCTGATAAGCAGATTTACTTTATGTTGTAATGTTTAGGTTTGCTGGTTAGTCTGGTTGTATCTATAGTTAGTTTGATCATACTAGTTAGCTTATGAGAAGTTTATTGTTTTCCTATTTTGTTAAATAGGTGTTCATAAGATATTACCCATCTACTATTTGTAGTATAACAAGTATCTATCCAATATTTTTTCCTTAGGAAAATTATGACACCTTGAATGAGGCACTTGCGGGATCTGACCACTCATGGACAGGTTTGACTTTGAAGGTAATTGCTAATCTTTGCTGAGTTATGGATATAGACTGCTTTGCGTCAATTATCCTGGTGTTGTACATTTTAAAGAAATTCTATGCACAACTTGTCTTACAGGTTGGGAGCGCGGGTAAATTTTTTTTGTCCTGCTAATTCTTCGTTATGTATTGACCCCCAACAGCAAACTTAATGTGTTTTAACCTAGAACTGAAAAAGTACAATGCCCTAAAAGAGACAGTGAGTTGGGTGTGGAGCTTGATATGTGTGCTTTTAGCATGTAGTTTTAGTTTGCGTTCGTTTTATTTTTGGAGAGAACCTCTCTGTCTTGCATACAACCCCATTCCTTTCTGTCCGTACTGGGGAATTGTTGCTTACACCCTCAGTCTGTTTATGGACAATTCCCCAAATTTAAAAAAAAAATCTTACTATTGTTCTGCTCTATTTTCTCCTAATATCCTTATTTTTGTCCTCATCATTTCCAGCTATGCACTGCTCTGGAAACAGCAAACAAACTGGTTCAGTCCACCAATGTGAATGCTAGATTACTGTCTGAGAAGGTTGGAGTACTGGAGAAAATTGTCAAGAGCGGAGACTCTGCAGTAGCAGCTGCCAGGACACTTCATGTCTCCCTAAATCAAAAAGTAGGACCATGTAACGCCAGTTAAAACATAGAATGATCTTGTTTCAGCAGGTGCAGTGTCGTTTATACACTTCTCTTGTTGCCTGTTTGGAGTATGACCTGTTTAACAATTTTTTTTTTAATAGAGACCAAAACGATTTCCTGCATTTGATGTAACAGAACAATGCTTTTTCTTACTTACTGAAAGTTTACCAGCGAAGGAGATGGTGGTACTTGAAGCACAAGTTCGAACTTGTTTTGCTTGTTAAAGAATTTTTGAATTGTTCTCGATGTTACTTTGATTAACTGGTTTCAGGTTACTGCTAAAGATAACCATGTCTTTATATAGAAACAGAGAAGTTGATTAGTCAAGGGAAAAATCTGTATGCATACGAAGAACCAACCATTTATTGTCAAACACAACAGGTCTGTGTTTCTTTTTGACCTTACAAACGTGACCTGTGGCTTCTCTCTCTGTCGTATATATATATATATATGTATATATGTTTATATGTATTCCACTAAAAATGAGTAAACTACCGGTGCCTTTTTGATGAAGGAGGATGCATGTGTTTGTGTATGTTTCTGGAACCCATGAGCTGGTAACCATTGTCAATTCATTACCCACGGAACCTGGGAACGGAATGTTACACAATTGCATACTAGTAGAATCACTAGTATGCAACAAAGGCAACAAGAAATGTATCATGTTTACAATTAGGATAAAAAAACTTTAGTTAGAATGATCAATTCAGATAACGTAAATAAATAAATATTTTAGAATGTTGGTTGCCTTTTAAACGCATGAATTCCGATTACGCCTTTGTAATATAATCTTAATCGTATCGTGTCTTGTTCAGCTAATCAATCTAATAAAGTTATTTATAAAATTGTTACACTCAATTTCAGATTGTATCTAGCTTTTGATTTATAAGCCTAAAGTCATCTTTAACTTTACAATCAATTTCAAAAACTTGTTTTCAAACTAAACCCAATTCTCATTTCGAACTCCATTTTAATGCAATATCCCACTAAGCTTAAATCCAATCCCATGAAACACATGTTCCAAAAAGACTTTTAGATCCAGCTCAAGTTGATTTCTGCATTTTCCAAAAGGACGTAGTTTTTGGCACATAACTTGAACTTTGTATTTAGGAAATTTGTTGAATTCCTTTGAACTGCTTGATTTCATATAAAATTTGTGGAGTGCTATTTTCATTTCCACTATTTTAATTCATGGTATAGATTATATATATTTTACTAATTTTTTATTAGAATTTAACATCATAATAATAATAATAATAACAAAAGTGGGTCATTTTAGGATTAAATATTTTGTACAATCATTATAATCCTTTTTAACAATAGTAAAATACTTAAGAACTTTTGATAAAATGACAATGTCTAATTGGGATGTATTTTGTCTTATTTTTTTCCATATTTGTAAAAAATTTAATTAATGCATATAATTAAATAAACAATATTTTCATAAGCTTTCCCTATAGATAGTATTTTAGTAAGTATGCTTCCAAGTATTTAAATAATTTGTGTAGATGTGTTTTACCTTCTTATCCCATATTAATTTTGAACTGATAATTTATGTTAGACTAGTAAATTTATCTAGCGTATGATTCAACTTCTAATAAGATTAATGACAACTATAAAAAAAAAAAAAATTTAAATTTAAATTATTTTTGTAGAAACATTTTAAAAATTGAGCCACCCAAGTTCAAGTCATCCTTCATTTGGAAGAAGTTGATATTCTCCTCATTTTGAGCTTCTTACCATCCTTCCTTAATATGCTTGACATTGAATCTCCACCCATTAAACAAAATCTCTACAACTCACTTGATACTTCTCTCGGCTTCTTTTCTAGTTGTATATCTCCCATAACTAAATACATTCTTCATGTTTCTTCTTTGTTTCTGATAAATTAAAATGAGTCATTATAGTTGGATGAGAAATAAGTAAGTGGTTCTAAAGGAGAGCCATGATCATTTTTGTTCGCGAACACTTTGAACAAGATACTCAACTTTTTGATGAAGAGGAAAGTTTCTTCATGCACTTTTTCTACAATAAGCACAACCCAAAATTGACATAGCAAAGAAACTTAGTGCACTCGAGCATCGTTGCATGAGGTTTCCAAATTTGAAAAATAATTTCTCAAGAGCATACAAATAAAGCTTCTTTGCAAAACAAAGATCACAGAGTTTAGTTCACTATAAAACAACTATGTGTCCTTCTGCACTTGGTTTGGTCCATAAATAAATATTTTCTACATCTCCAATTCCAAAGGATTGAAAATTCTTCTGTACGAAAACGATCCTCATCTTCAAAAAAAGTATTCAAGATTGTTGCAATTATTTAATTTATTGGAGGATATGTAAATAAAAAGTTACTCTCATAAAACTAAAAAAAAATTAAATAGAGTAGTGAGCTTAAACGTAAGAGAAGTTTCTTTCTAACTGACGGAACATGTTTATAAATTTATTAATGAAGGTGATTTAAATAGGAGTTTATATTGGTATCGTTCAAGAGTGGTCCATACTACTCAAAAAGTAAGTATTTAATATCCTTATAATTTCATTTTTATTTTTAGGTGTAATTACTCTTTTATTTTTTTTGGAGTCATTCACATAGATAATGTTTATCTACATACATTTATTTCATGTGTTTGTACTTTGATTTTTGTGGGGGCACTTACTAGCATTGATTTCCTCCATATACGCTTTATTTACTTTCTTTTTTACTTCTTCCATTTATTACTTCCTATTCTTATTTATTTATTTTTTATACCTAATAGTATCTGATTTTTTTAATTAATATAAATATGTATTTTTTTTTAAAAATAAATTATTCAGATTTTTACCTATCATAACCAATTAAAATTAGGCACGTTATATAATTAATTTGTGTTATAAATATAATTTTGATGAACAAAACGTAATCGACCAAGATTTTTGATACCTACAAATTATTTTTTATTTTTTATTTTATAAAAAAAATAAAGACGAACATAGATGGGATTTAATACGCTAAGGCACAGTTCAAAGAAGCCACAAAATTGGGTTACAGTATGCAACAAAGGTTATGAGATGTATCGCAGTTTATAATTCGGAGAATATATTTTAGTAGAATGATTAATTCCGACAAAGTAAATAAATAAATGTATAATCTTAATCATGTATATCTTGTGCAACTAAAACAATCTAATACAAGTTATTTATAAAATTTGATTGAACATTTTCAGACTGTGTCTAACTTTCATTCTGTAAGCCGAGCCATCTTTAATTTTAGAACCAATTTCAGCAGCTCGGTTTTAAACTAAACCCAATTCTCATTTTAATGCTCCAGCCAACTCTAAGCCTAAATCTAAACCCATGAAACACATGTCTGAAAAGACTTTGAGCTCCAGCCCAAGCTAGATTTCTGCACTGGCCGAAACGACGTAGTTTTGGACAAGTTATATAATTAATATGGGTTACAAGCATAATTTTGTTTAATTGAACAAGATTTTTGGTTGTTACAATTTTTTTTTTCTTTTTTTTTTTAATAAAAGAAGTAAATATGAAAATCAATTTATTGATAAGATTTATACAAACAAAAAACTCAAAAGAGAAATGAAAATAAATATGCCAATTAATGTCTAAAAAACACCATTGATTTTTGAATGACATTATGTTTAATTATGATAAAACAAATAAATGAATAATCTAGGACATGAATCCATGTTAGATCTTGTAAATATAATCTTAGTTTATATCATATATTTTCCAACTTACTTAAATATTAAGGTTCGTCCGTTCTACGCCTAAACCCAAAGACTTTTAAGCCTGAGTCTAAAAAGCCCTAAATTAGCTTGTCTCACCTTTAGCCCAAAACGACATAGTTTTGGCACATAAAATTAAATCCTAATCATTAGTTAAGTAGGAATACAAATATATGTATGCATTAACATATGCATCTTCTTGCTCGAAGAGAAAGAGGACTGGTCCGCTTCTAGTTCGAATCAGAGTCCATTAATTATCTCTTTATAATGAAGCAGACTCTCACTTTCAATTCTCACTCACTGCAATTTGATTTCTTCTTGTCTCTCGATTTATTGCTATATCTTTCTGGGTTAAATAATTGTTCTCTATGCGTAATAAATACATATCTCGAGTTAAAAATTTTGTTTCAATATATAATATAGTCGATCACCATGGCCGGTGGTTTTGTTATTTCTGGCGGCAGAGATTCAAAACAATATCCAGGAAAACTCACTGCTTATGTCGTCATTACCTGCATTGTTGTCGCCATGTGTGGCTTGACTTTTGGATACGACATTAGTATATCTGGTAAGCCTACATTCAGATCATCTTCTTCAATTAATTTTTTTTTCTGTAATTTAATTGTGATCATTAAATATTTAATAATGAATTAATTTCAGGTGGGGTGACGTCGATGCCTCAGTTTCTACAAAAAAATTTCCCATCAATTTACAGGTAGGAGGAATTGGATACTTCTGTTGAGAACAGAAACAACTGGCAACAACTATTCTTGGAAGACAAGTGTGCCAACTTGTCCAAATCAGCGGGAAGTTCCAGTCAGGATGCCGACTTATCCCACACACCTCAGACAAATACGTGTGGCCGAAAACTGGAATGCAATCATCCTCAGCTTAAGAGCCAAATCATCCCTCTCTAAAAACCCTTAAAGCTGCATGTACCTCCTGCTTATTCCGCGTTGTTTTGGTTCTCTGTTGTTTCTTGTGTTGTTTTCGTTTTCTATTTGTTAGGAGACAAAGAGTTCTATAAATGTATCCTCCTTTTTACCAAGATGACAATGAATGAATGAATGAATATTATATTTTGCTGAGAATTGTCTAGCTCCCATACACAACACCAAACAATTAGCTTTCTTAACTTGGTATTAGATCGCAAGGCATAATGGCAGGAGAGAACAACAACTCCTTAACCTTCAACCTAACACCTCAAAGAGTTCAAACTCTATCTAGCAGCTCAATGAGCTCTGTGTGTACTCTGAAACTCAATAATGACAACTATTTCCTTTGAAAAAACTTGGTATTGCCAATCATAAGAGGAAACAAACTTGGAGGTTACCTCACCGGCGCCAAATCGAGCCCACCTGAGTACACAAAAAGAACCATAGAAGGAAGTGGTGAAGTCGAAATCATAGTAAATTCAAAATTCGAAGACTGATTTACACAAGATCAGATACTGCTGGGTTGGCTTTACAGCTCCAT